TAATTTTCCAGCAACAAAATTGTGGCCAGTGAAAATGCTGAGTGGCTAGTAATTTTGGAAAACCACTAGCCACAGTGGCTGGTGAGCAAAAGAGTTAATGTCAAGCCCTGTATACAGTGAATACTTGACGTGGATACTTGTATTGCAGTAAAAAATTTGGTGTTTAACCGGAGTACGGTGGTGGGGGTGCCTGACATGTGTCAAACACTAGAAAGGGGTGCACGCTGCAAAAAGTTTGGGAACCACTGGTCTAGACTGAATGTTTATTTGTATCTCTGCAGTTGTTTCTTTTCCTGCAAGACTTTTCTCAGAGGATGTTGTCCAAGACACATGAGATTGAGAAACAGTTGGATGGTCTTATCCAGGACACTAAAGCCACAGACAGCTGCCTACACACAGTGTTTAACGACTTCCTCATGCTGTCCAACACACAGTTCATTGAGAACGTATGTATTTTTGTTCATCATTTTAGCTAAATAAGAATTCACTTTGTATGTGGATGCAAAGCAGTTCAAGTTTTAAACTGAAACAACATATCACACTTGTCCTGTGATAATATAGGGGAGAGTTTGTCAGCTTTTGATATTTATACAGTTCCTGTTCAAAGTTCCTCCCTTGAGATTCAAAGTGGCCCAAATGTAAATTCTTTATTGAGCATTTTTCTCACTTCATATTGGGACATTGTGATATTTGATACATTTCAAGAAAAAAAATAAGGATGTAAACATGAACATACGCTGTTTATTGTGATATCTGATGTAGTTTTTTTTTATTCATTATTAGAGGGTTTACGATGAAGAGGTGGAAGACCCTGCACCAAAGCCAGAAACCATGGAGAAACAGCCTGAACAGGTAGTGATTGGGAATGTTTCTCTGGTTATTTCTGCTGTGGGTCGTTTCTGTGATTTCATATAGTGCATTATTATGAAAATTTGCATTTCTATCATACTGTATGTGAAGGAGAAGACAAGGGAACAGAAAGAAGCAGAACTAATTCCCAAAGTCCAAGAGGCCGTCAACTATGGTCTGAAGGTCCTGGAATCTGCTTTCGAACAGTTGGACATTAAAGCAGGAAACTCGGACTCTGAGGATGAAGAGACTCTGGAAAAAGTAGAGCCCATTTTGGAAGCAAAGGTAAAAGTTTCCTTACAGCCCTTGAGCACTTGATTATCAGACAGTTATTATATATAATTAGTGGCTTTTGGGTTAGTGGTGTTAAAATGTGCAACAAAAAAAATTCCCGATAACTCACATTGAAAGAGGGAACTGAGCCATGTCAATGGGTACATCTTCACGGCTTTTTGTGCTTAAATGTATTTTTATTGGTAGGACCTGTATGTGGACAGGCCTTTGCCGTACTTGATTGGTTCCCAAGCATTTATGGATCAGGATGATGTTGGCTTGGGCGATCTATCCAGTGATGGTGAGATTTCAGATTCATAATCTTTATGATTTTCTTTGTCTTGTTTTAGGTTGCTTTTAACTGGTGTGTGTTTGGTGTGCTTTATAGAAATGTCTATCGGGAGTGGCAGAGACAACGTCATTGAGAGTGATGTTGAAGAAGGTGATGAGGTAAGAGATAATGATATGCACATTCACATGGATTCCGTCGTTAACATTTTAAGAGCATTGAAAATAAAATAAAAAATGAATGTTTTATTTATTGAATACATTTTTTTTAATGTCAAAAACATTATACCCAATTATTTTTGAAAACATTTAAAAAAAAATGGATGTATAATCCTCCATTTGGTTTATATTCCAAAAGCAGTCAGATGAATACTCTGACCAGGATGAGGAAGTCCATGGCAACTTTAAGAAAGTAAGACTTTAAAAAAATCTGGTGGTTTATATACACATGACAAATTGACACCATATAAGGATGTAATGCATAAAGTAAAGGATATATGTGAAATATTTAACCAGGTGCTTTTATAGCAGTGTAGATTATATTTTATAGATGTGTGATGATGCCACATGTAAAATAAAGTGGGTTATAAAACAAAAATAATGCAATATTGTGAGATTTACTTAAACAATCTTTTAAAAGGTTTTCATGTGCATTCATAGAGAAAGAAATTGGAAAAAAAAACAATTTCATCTAAATGTGAAAAGTAAACATACATCACTGACCAGGGACATTTCTAATTAGCATATTATAGATATAAATATAGATTTAAAATGTATGTTTATATATGAAGAGTTCATTTGCAAAAACCGATAAACGCCACTTTCAAAAAAATTAGCTGATTGCCGTGCATTATTCTCCACATAATAGCGCGATCTGAACCCTAAACACATTTTGTCAAAAAAGCCGGTTTTGTCCACTTTCACGGTATCGCGAGTTCACGTTTTACTGCAGAAGCCGACAAGCGCCCTTGTTGTTTTTGAACAGAAGCCGATAAATCCATTTTAGCGAATCAGCGCGCTGTATTCAGGTCAGGTGACAAGGCTACTTTCACTTTGAAAAGACGTGCTAGCTGAGAGGAGTTTCG